CGTACCTTCCCGGTCGCGCCGGGCTGCGGAGGAACATGATTTTCCGGCCCTGCTGAGCCTGTTGGCGCAGCGGGTCCAGGGGAGGGTCCGTGGAGATCCGGAGGGCCGGACTGAGAAGGAAAGACCCACACCGGAGGGGCAAGCGCAGGGTCAGGGGTGTGTCTTCCTGCTCCGCGCGGTGCGAGAAAAGAAGCATGCCTGGTTGACATGATAAGAATGTTTATATTCCTTATGAAATTTGCCAGGAAAACACTAAGTTTGAAGCAGCCCCCGGTTTGAAAATAGCTCGTTCCCGCTCTTTATCCCCATTATAAAAAGCAATTCATCCTTTTTCTTGTGAAGCCGTCAAGACGGTAGGGAAAACCTAAGGGAAAAAATGACAGTCATCCACCATTCTATGGTGATACCAGTAAATACAGATGTATGTTGTCATTTTTATGGACTTCATAGTATACCATCGTATATCATAATCTAACCAAGCCCTAATACGAACATTTAATTTGTTTCCAGTTTGTCACACGATAAGCAGTTATGCAAATGGGGTCAAAGGTAACATTCGTATTTTTAAAAGTTTTTTTTTCTTGTTAATATATTTGGAAAATTCTTCTCTGTCCCAGTGTTGCAAAAAATTCCAGTCATGTTTGTTTTTCATAATTTCATGTGTGTTTTTTTACTATATATATTTAATCTACTTAAAATTTATTCTTGGTTTGAGATATAAAACATTTCCCAAGTGACTAGTGAATTGTACTGATTTTATTAAAGTTGCTCAGACTTTTTTCATCTCATTTTAGATTTAAAGCTCTAAGTATGTGCTTGTAAAGGGCGACTTACAAATTTGATACTTAGATTTTGTTTCTGCTCAGATGTTTCATGTACCTTAAAAAATTAGTATTTTCTTTTCGTGGTATCTTTTTTTTATCATTTCCCTTGACAAGCCCAGGGAATGTTTTTTTGTTTGAGATATTTTTTAGTATATGTGCTGCCAAGCCAGCGCTGTTTGAGATTTTAAAAAATATGTATTTTAAGCAAAAAGTTTAGTTTATTGCTGTTTCATTTGCTTTCTTGCTGACAAGATAACAAACTCCATATGAAGAGTTCAGGTTTGTTGTGGCAACTTTTCAGTCTGGCATTTGAGATTCTAATCTTCCTCTATTTTTGCACACGAATACGTAGGTTAGCATTGGAGACCAAGATAGAAAAGTTCTCAGATTCCCTTGGCAAGCCTAGGTTTTTTTCAATCTAAAATTATCACTGGATTTTTGGAAGACGGCATGCTTTAAGCATCCTTAAAAAAAAAAGTAACACATGATTTTGTAAAAATTTTACTGAATGCTTATTTTATTGAAAAACGGACACTTAACAACCAATAGCTATAAGTCCAGCGGATCTTCCAAATCTCAGAAAATAATTGTCTGCATTAGCAGGCAGGAGCATCACATGGGTTGGGATTTGCTTTCTCCCTTTCCCTGTGACTTTGTCCTTAGTGGAAAATGATGACCTTCCGAGGTGGACAAAGAATGTTGGTTTGAATATATAATTGGTTTGTTTTGGAGTTACAGAAAAGCAGATTGCCAATGTCTCGGCCTAAGTTCACAGAGAGCCTGTAGTGTCAAAAGTTGGGCCTCAAATGTATCCTTATCTCTACTGAAAGTGCCCTCTTGAGGGTTGAGGGTCCCCTTATTGGTTGATAGATGCAGTGCCTATAACTTTCTCATTTCCTTTGCAAAATATTTGACTTTTTCCTGACATGAACAAATCTTGTTTTTGATTTTTTTTTTTTTTTGAGCTGTTATGGTCATTTTCTTAACTTTGTGACTGTTTGTTTTTTAAATTTTGAGACGGGGTCCTGATAAGTTTCCCAGCCAGAACTCACTATATAGCCCAAGCTGGAACTCATGGTTCTCCTGCCTCAGCCTCTCTTACTGGGATCGGGAGTATACCACCATGTCCAGGCTTGTGACTGTGTATTTCACTTGTCTTTGTTGCGTCACTTGGTCTTTTTTTTTTTTTTTTTTTTTTTTTTTTTTTTTTTCCTTCTTTCACTTGTTCTTAATTTTCTGGGAAGCCTGGAAACATTTGGAGGCCTAGCTTTATGCTTTTTAACCCTTCCTCCTAATATTTGCTTCCCACAGATCTAGTATGGGATTCTGAGTAGAGGACCGTCTTGCTCTCTCACCCCTGCCTCCAATTTCTGGCTCCTAACTCAGACTTGTTTACAAGTCATTTATTTTCCTCTCATCCGGTTCATGTTTCTGAAACCATTTTTTACCATTTGTATTCTACACCTTGACTTAGACTTTGAGCCCCCCTCCCAAGTACTAGGAATTGAACCTAGGACGTTAAGCTATATCCTGAGCCCTTTTGTGTGTGTGTGTGTGTGTGTGTGTGTGTGTGTGTGTGTGTATTTTATTTTGAGAGAAAGTCTTGCTAAGTCTCTTAAATTGTCCAGGCTGGGCTTGAACTTATAGTCCCCTTGCCTCAGCCTCCCGGAGTGTTGGGGTTACAGGCATGTGCCATCATGTCCAGCTTGTGCCTTTTTTTTTCCTGAGGAATTTATATAATCTGGTCTTATTCTGAATGAGAAAGATGAGAGAGCCAGTGAATTTAGTTATGAATTCAGTTAGCTGACATTTGTGAAGTACTTACAGTATGGGTCAGTTACTTTACTGGAAGATCAGAATATAAAACTGAAAGGCACAGGCTGAGAAAGAAAGTCAAAAAACAATTGCCATAAAGTATCATAAGTACCTAGAAGAGGAGACACCAGAAAAGTTATGCCAGACTTCAGGAATCTTGTCTGTCTTGTTCTCTGCTTTTATCTTTAGGCCTAGAATACAGGGTTCTGGAAACAAGTATTTGTTGAATGAATGAGTGATCATCTAGGAATTAAAGATAATACAGATCAGCTATCTACTAGAAAAAATATAAGCCAAGAGACATTTTGTAAATGTAGTTTGAAGAATTTCAGGGAAAACTTTAAATTCAACCAAACTGACCCAGCTATAACCCCAGGAAGGCATGATTGGAATGTGTTGTAGCCAGAAAGATTAAACTTAATTTTGTATCTTCCAAAGAAAGATTTGTGTTTCCAGGAGAGAGTTGAGATGATATTTGTGGAAGTTGGGATGGTGGATTCAGAAGCAAGGAGTTAAGTGGTATATCTGACCAGAGGAACTGTGTGCACTCCTCTGTGGGGCGTCTGCTTTACCTGAAATAGCCACAAAGGTCTTTACTTTCCTGAGCTTCCATCCTCTTGTTAGAACATGGCTGTACATGGAAATCTTTTGGCAAAAAGAGAATGCAAATGGTTGAGCGCTCTCTGCTTGAGTCAGATTCTGGTCTCGAAATGCTGGATGATCTCCGTCTTCTCATCTGTAGAATGGGAATACCAGTAGCACCTTTTTCTTAGTACTGCCTTGAAGGCTTTGAGCATGCCGCCTGGCACCTGGTAAATATCCAGTAAGTATTAGTGTCCCGTCCCATCCCGTCCACCCCAGTGCTGGTGATGGAACCTAGGGACTCACTCCAGCTAATCAAGGGTTCTACCACATCCTCAGCTCCTGTGTTAGCTCTTGTGGTTTTTATAAGCTTGGTAACTGGCAACCTTGAACTTATATAGCCTAAATCATCAGTTCTGAAACTGCTTCCTTGCTCCTGGGTGTACTAACACAGCTGTTAAACAGTGGGAAGTACGGCGGATAGGCTTTTCCCAAAGTGCTGGTGCAGGAATCCAGCTTGTATGACTTCAGGAAGTTAGGGAATATTTTCCTGGAGAAGGCTGTTGTTGAACTAAGTATCGGGGAAAAAATTAGTGAAGATAGCTCCACAGAAAGGGGAGAGGACACTTAAGAGAATGGTGACATACAGAGATGAAAGGTGAGCAAGCATGAGTTATATAATTAATAACAATATCTAACAGCACTAACCACACTTTTGGTACTGTACTAAGCCCTTAGGCACACCGTACTAAGCAGGTTTGGTGCTGTTTGTGTGTATTACTTTCTTTAGTTCTCACTACAACTCTAAGATATATAGGTACTTTCTGTTACCGAAGTGACAATCTGGTAGGTCTTCCTGCATCTTGATCCAGCCTGTACACTGCTACAAGTGTCTTTTGTACATTTAAATGCTTTTCTTTGGGAGAGGGGTATTGTTGAGACAAGGTCTGTCTGCATAATTTATTCTGGCCTTGAACTTACTGTGTTGCCTGGACTGGCCTGGAGCTTGTGGTGATCCTCCTGCTTCAGCCTCCCAAGTGCTAGAATTACAGATGTGTCCTAACATGTCCAACATTAAAAGCTTCTGTGATCCTATTACTATTGCTGATGAGGTACAAGTCCTACCAAGATCTTCTCACCTCATGAAACAGTCTTGGGTTAAGATGTAAAAATGCATACATGATAGAATTTTAATAAAAACAGCCTAGCAGCTGGGAAAAGTGTCAAGAGCTTGTACTCCCAGCACTCTTGAGAAGTTGAAGCAGGAGAATTACAAGTTGGATCCCAGCCTGAGCAATTCAACGACTTAGCAAGATCCTGTCTCAAAATAAAAAAGACTGGGATTGTATGTGGTTCAGTTCAGTTCTAAATACTGAAGATAAAACACAAAAACATAAGTGTAGATAAGAGTCAAATTCAGTGCATTATTTAAGGTGTGTTATTACAAAAAAAGAGAAATATATAAGCTAGGTGTGGTGGTGATGCTTGTAATCTCAGCACCGTGGGAGGCTGAGGCAGGAGGATCTCATGTTCAAGCCTCACCTGGGCAACTTAGTGAGACTCTGTCTCAAAATAAAAAAGGGCTGAGGATGTAATTCAGTGGTAGAGAACTCTTGGGTCTGACTCCCAGTACCACACACAAAAGAAAAAAAGAAGGAAAAAAGGAAACAGATACACATGAAGTAGATTTCTAAGTGCAGGAAAATGTTTCTGGAATGACAGAAAAGAAGCAGTGGTTGTCTTTGGGGTGAGGCCCCATAAAACCAAACTGTTATATTGATCATTTTTTCTTGCTTACTGTGTCTTATGGAATGAAGTTTTTCACTGTGCATACTGCTTTCAATTTTAAAATTATTAAATTTTGAAATACATGTCTCTGTCATGTACCATACCTCTAAGTTCAGAACTTCTCTCTATCCCAGTTTATTCTATTTGAAAATGAAGGAAATGATACAGTAATGCCTATCTTCTGGGGGTACAGTGAGGTTTTAATGAGTTAATATTTGTAAAGCCCTTAGGACAGTTCTTGGCCAGAATGTGTTTTGTGTTGCTATGGCCTTGAACCGTATACTGTAGTGTCACAGTGTGTTCAGTATATGTCTTTGTTGCTCACATTTCATCTGAGAGACACATGTACAAAGGCAGTAGCAGCAGAAGCTACAGGAGCTCAGGAAAGGCTCTGGGGAAACTTAAGTGGCCCAGCCAACCTGGTTTCATCTTAACAACGAGTCTTAAATGTGAGTGACTATGAGGGCACAGGACACAGAGGATCTTGTTCCAAGGGTGATGTGTCTCAGACAGCCTGAGGCAGAGGAATCAGAAACAGAA